CATTTTCCTTGGAAGGTTTATTTTGGTTTCTGTTCCTGTTTTACTTACTTTGCTATTTCTGTTACTGAAACAGTATGGAGGATAACATACTGATTTAGTGAAATGTATTTCTATATTGACCAGTGTGTGGCAGTAGATGCTAAGCATGGGGTACATCTGCATTCTGTAGCCATTGGCACTAAAGTTCATGGACGTATCTCAAAGCAAATCTTTGCAAATATAAATCTTTTGTTTTCAAGATTCTTTCCTTTTATTTTGTACTGGGATTCTAAGTAGCCGCCTTCAGGTAAGCTGAGTCTGTCTCAACTATAATTTGGCTGTGCTAAAATCCTAACTCTAATGGGAAGTGCTGTATTAGGGATAGTATGGAAACCATAAAGAATGCTTGTGTTTGAAAATGTGCAGTAATCTTTAGAAGAATTAGAAGAAGTTATCTGCTTGTTGTCTTCCAGGGGTTATTGCAGGTTCACCAGTGCCTCCTGAGGTCATGAAGAAGATTATCCAGAAAATGAATATGCGGGAAATAGTAGTGAGTCCTTTTTTATCCTTGGATTGTGTCGTTTCCTTCTGTGTATATTGTAATGGAGTGCAGGGTGCTGGGATTGGCCTCGCCGAAAAGCTTTGCACTGTGGGTGCTGCATGTCGAGGTGAAGAGACAACATGGTTTGGCTTGACGAGGTCGCATCACCTGCCTCCAGTAACAACCGCAAAAGCCTGGAGGAGCTTCTGCATTTGTGCTCAGATATGTAGAAAACTCCTTGAGGTTTTGCAAGAGTCAGTTGAGACAGACGGCCTCTTTGCTTTGTTTGTGAAAACAAGGGGGCAGCATTGCTTCATAAAGCATCTTGGGGAGAGGGGAGGCATTTGGCTTGCGCCTTCATTGAAGCAAAACACTCCCTTAAAGATCTGCACAACTCTAGCAAGGGGGATTATGCTCTCCCGCCATGATTACCGTCTTTCTGTATAAATGTTTGTCATTAGCTTTTTAAATTCCTCTTCAATATAGCAAACGGTACAACTAAACTGGGAACAGAAAGTGTAGCAGGATTCTAAAGGAAAGAAGATATCTGTGTAGATAGCTACAGGAACCTAGATCACCTTAATGGGCAAGCACCGTGAGAAGGACTTACCTGCAGTTATACATCTTGATATTGGAACGATTTGAAGCCCAGATTGAGCACTGAGTTTGCTCCCATTTTCTCTCACTAAGGCTAGGACTGGTTTTGCTTGATAGTATTTATACTTCTCTACCAGAATACCTTTGTAAGAATAACTGGGAAATACTATAAATACAGGAATCAGGAATTTGGTACTCTTTGTTGTCAAAATTAGCGTATAGTTTTCCTTGCAGAAGACAATTGTTTGCGCACACGTTCTCACATTTTGTTGAAAGGACACCTGCATGGAAACTTGATCACTTTGTCTTTGCAGCAAAAGCTTTATACAGAAATTGTACATAAGAAAATATATAATTTGCTTTCTACATAGGAATAAGAAGATAAACATCCTCCTAGGTGTCATTTACATTCAGTAACAAATGAATAAATATATATTTTTATGAAACTTCAGGATTAAAAATACAAATAAACTGAAATGGTGGTATTATAGAATGCATGATGATAAATCACAGTCATCTTGCTACCTATAACAATATTTCTGAGATTAACAAATGGTGAAGGTATCATTTTCCAAAGTGGCAGGTCTCTGCATTCTTCCATTCCTGTTTTCTATTTTAAAGGAAAGGTCTTCTGCATCAGCCTGCTAAGATACCCTTTATAAATCTGCTGAAAAACTCTGTGGGTGCACAGAGAAAATGCTACAGCATTATCTAAGGTACATTCTCAGTTTGAAAGGGTGCTGCCAAATATATCAGATTTTGCATTGGCCCAGTTATCTCCTAAATCTGCAGCTAACTAAAGAATACAGGAAGAGTGAGTGAAGGCCACGTTGTCTTGAAATATTGCCTTTTATTTGTGATTTGTGATAGTTTTTAAATTAAAGAGGTCTTATTCACAGGTTGTTTTTTAAAAGTTAAAGGGGAATACATCCTTGTGCAGTCTGATTCCTGCATATATTTACTTGGAATTAAATCTCATTTCACTTAATAGGCCTTTCTCATCATAAGAATGAATAGAATTACAAACTTAATTCTGTTTTTAGATTTTTGATTTCCATTTGAACTAATCAAACAGGATAAGAAACCCTGATTCTCCTTTATGCAGTTCAGTTCTTTTATTGTAAGTTGCCAACTCCTTCAACTCCTTCTTTTCTTATGACTAGATCACACATCTTTTCTTCTTTAAAGAGCACAGGGCCATCATTGAACTTCCTCAAGTGGAGAGAGGCCCTTTTCAGTGAGCTGAACCTTAAGAATAATACTGCATAAGTTACTGAAATAGACCAATATCTATTTTTAGTTCCTGTAACATAGAGTGTGGGTTTGAAATACAAAGCTAATTTTGTTAGCCATTCTATAATGTACAACCACTTTGCCACATGCATAGCAAATCAAAGCATGTAAGGCAGTGCCTAGCACTAATTAAAAATGCATTTATTCTGATTTTCCCTCACTATCAGTTTTTTTTTTATAACCTGAAGACTCAAATAATTATCCCTATTAGATGGTGCTAGGACTGTTCTTTTAGTTTGCTTCTAGACAAGTGGCTCCTAGTGAAAAGGCATTGTACTGCTGCTCCACCTTTTTTTTTCATTAAAAAGTTTGGGTTGCAAAAATATGGAAGAAGTAATGGGAAAACACAGAAGGGTTACAAATGGAAGACTGCAAAAAGATAAGGATATTTTCCCATATATTCGCTGACAATTAGATAAACAAATTAATCCAGTATCTAAAGGAACACTGTAGATCAGTTTCTGGAAATGAAATGAGCTGTGAAATTGTTGAAGACCAGATCACTGCAAAGGCCAGAGTCACTATGGAGGTCCTCGTAGTTGCAGACAAACCCTGTTTAAACATGGTCTGTGGGAGAAAAAAAAAACTATGCTTTTAAAGCCAGTATTTTAGCTTGTGTAGTTTGCTAAGCAAATTGAGAGATCTCTAATGTTCTTCTTCTTTCCATCCCCAAAATACAATTTCTAGGCTTTTCTGGGCTCAGAGAGCTAACTTTTGAATTACACTCTACCCGTAGTATAGATGTTCCTGTAAATAATTTATACATCGCCATCTGGCTTCCATTTGTCTCATCTAGCACACCCTCATTACTTCTCCCATCTTGACAATCACTAGGAATAAAGTAAAATAAAGCAATGCAATCCTTTCAGTCAGCATACTAACATGTTCTAACATACAGGGAGCCTTTTTGTGTTTTCTGCTCATTTCTTGGATGTTGGAACGCAAATCCTAGAGACCAAATGGCTGGCTGAATGACAGCAAAAATGATGACTGTATTTTATCAGCAGGATCTCATTTAGCTTGTTGTAGCTTGGTCATGCATAGGCTTATATTTTTTAAAAGTATTGTTTAAAATAATATTTATAATACTAGGGGGGGAAAAGGCTGAATGGTAGATTCCACCTGAAATCTGCCTGTGGCAGGATATGGATATGATTGAGATTTGTTGTTTCCGATGGAAAGGAGTTATTTAGGATGAAGGACTTGGAAGGCATCAGTAGTTTTCTGGTTGGTTGAAGTGAATAGTTACCTGGACTCACATTTCTGGATCCTGTTCATGAGAAAAAGGAGCTTTCTAAGCAAGAGAAACAACAAGGATGATACTTTAGTGCTTTCAAGGGTTCAAGGCAGTTCAAATCCATTATCTAATCTTTAATCTTTCTAAATAATCCAGGGAAATAAATAATTCCATTCATGCTGTAGATGAAAAATTGAGGCTGAAAGTGAGTGGCTTGCCTAAAGCTACCAGGGAGTTCATGACAGAAGCAAGTTTTGCCTTCAGTCTTTCACAGACTATAGTAGTCTATGCTCACAACTCCTAAGCTATCAAGAGTTGTGGTTAGCTGATTTTCATACCATTTTACTCAGAAGTAAGCCTTGCTGTTATGCTGTTACGTTTCATCTGATCCTGGGAAACAACTGAGTTTTTAAAAATCTGTTTAAGCAGAAGATTTCATAGTGACCTCAGACAAATTTGACTGAGTCATTAAACATTTTTGTTATTAAATAAGTGGTCCATTTGAATTAGTGTAGTTCTGGAAATAATTCAGTTCTCTGTATTGTCGAAGGCTTTCACGGCCGGCATATGATGGCTGGTGTGGGTCTTCCGGGCTGTGTGGCCGTGTTCTGGAAGTTTTGTTTCCTAACGTTTCGCCAGCACCTGTGACCCACAAAAGGGTCCCATCACCCTGGGCACAGAGAGAACTGCTCCTGTCTGTGCTCCTGCACTCTGAAGATGCCGGTCACAGGTGCTG